TCAGCATACTATCTTCACATAAATCCACTTAGTTAAAATTGTTTACATTCAAATAAATACTAACAATTATTTATAATTTGTGAACAAATTTTAATTGTTACTATTATGAATAGATCATTATTAGTATGGGTATTTGTACAGATTGTAATATTTTCACGATTGAATTCATAAGTCGATCTAAATTAGACCACCATTGACAACCTGATAGCACTAGAAGGTCGTTTCGTTCTAGTATAAGACTTCTCAACAGTATGTATCCACAATTCTGTACGTGGGACACTTATTAAACTATATTTAAGTGATGAATTCAAATTAACATTTTGATCATTCAAGTATAAACAGATTTACATGTATTTAAACAAATGAATAAAACAATATTTGATTTAATTAATGGTCACATTGTTTAGAATAATACAAAGTATTTAGACTAAACACCAATTATTTATCGGTGACTTATTCAGTTTTATATTCGGATTCGGTTTATAGTTAAATGTAGACTATGAAAATTAGTATTCACGTAATAAATTCAAATGTATAGTATAAATTTTATAAGATTTTATTTCTCACTTACGACCATTACTAATGTAGTAAACAAGAACACAAATAGGAACAAGCAAATGTATTTTAACATGAAATTATAAAGTTATTTGGTAAAATGTTAGTATTATATGTTCAATACTTCATTTGTAAAACGTCCATCAATTGTCTATACTAATTACTCTTTGTTCCTGTTCTTTTCTATTCGATTTTCTCAACATTCTACTGCCAGACATTCCACTTTCGACTGGCATCACATACTACTTATACCTGTTGACATAAGTAATACACACCAAACTACTACAAATAGGATTTAAACATAGTGAATAAATATTAATTACGATAGTTGAGATCATGAGTTAATTGAAGCTAGACCACCATGGAAAACCTGGAAGCACTGAATGACCGTTTCGTCATAGTATGGGACACCTCAGCAGTGCGCATCCATGATCCCACCTCACGAGATTCGAACCCATGATCAATCGGTCTCACGCGGGAAGGACTAATCACTAGACATCTGGATCGGCATAAAACGATGTTAATGTCTAACTTCAATCAATCCACGAAGTTGCGCCACCGTCCACTATTGTCATCAGTGAATCACTACCTCACAACAGACCCAGTTGAACTCCACTGGTCACTGTTTCTCACTAGAGCTCCAGAAAATACCACTTGAAGCCAGTCACTAGTGAGCATATGGATGCGTACTGTTGAGAAGTCCCACAATAGGACGAAATGGCCGTCCAGTGCTTCCAGGTTTTCCATGGTTGTCTAGCTTCAAATGACCCATGATCTCAACTATTAAAATTACTATAATGTCCTTAAATTAAACAGTTTACAATCGGTGTTTTGTTACAGGTAGTATATGATTTCACGAAACTTTTAACAACGTAAACCAACAATAATAAAATTTAGTGTTAAAACTTTAGACCTACTACTATTCTCTTTAGAATTTATTTTACACATTCAATTGAAATAAGCAAACAATAAGAATCAAATAGTATTGAACACTATTTCATCCTGTCCTGAGATTACACATCAAGAATCCATGTGAAAAGATTCAAGTTTTGCAGTAACTGCGTTACTTTTAGACAGCTTATTCAGAATTCAGTTTGTGATGTATATATATATATATATATATATATATATATTATATATACATTCGAACCCAAGACCTATCAGTCTCGCGCCAGGCGCTCAACCAACTAGACCACTGAGCCGGTATCCAGGTTTTCCATGGTGGTCTAGCTTCAATTCACTTATGGTTTCAACCAGTGAAATTTCTAAAATCTCCACAAAACCCATCCTGATAAAGTTTATTATAATTGTAAGGTTTATGAATTCATAATCAATAAATGTACATCCTAAAAGATATTGTCACTTGAATTAAACAAAATAGATAAGTTGAATATCAAGGTCAAATAGATGTTTGTTGAAAGAAGAAAAGAAAATGAATGAAACAATTTGAATGAATAAAACAATATTACGTGTTTATGTGTATTGCGTGTCATATTCGATTAAGATAATGGCTTAAATTCTAAGGTGAAGATATATACATATGTATGTAATTTTGATTTTCCTGTATTTAAACACTGATTTCAGTGGACCTAAACCAATGTTACCAAAAAAAGGGTCAGCTAATCTAGTTTACGCTTATTTTGTTTTCTTTATTATAGTGTAATCTATGATCGGTTTTAGTATTATCAGTCAAACAGATGTATTAAATAGAAAAATAGAATAAATTCTTCAAGCAAAGCTAACTACAGAAATATTGTTGATAAACTGAATAAGAAAGTCAATGAACTATATGATATAGTAAAATCGAAATGGAAAGATCTAAAGTTTCTTAGTGCCTATTGTTGACTCCAGTCTGATTGAATGATAATACTATTGAAGTATATATACACATATATAGACTAGTTAATTTAGTATACACTGCTAAGAAATTCTATACCAAGAAAAACCAGTTGTCCGATATCCCGTTGTTTCTAATGATACTAAAACAGTCAATTCACCAATGATTTATTTCGTGATATTTTTTAAAGTATCAGTGGACAATTGTAACTGATGGGGTTTAAACAAAACGGGAGTTAAATATTTATCACTGATAGTTTTTGATGGAGTTTTGTTCTCTGAGCTGGATGGTTTGGTCGACCAAAACTCCATCAAAATCATCCACCTGAGCTACAAATCCTCACCACTATCTCAATATCACTGATATTGCTGAATTGTCATTGAGCTATATTGAAAGTTGACTGAAAAAAATTTAACTGAATGCTTATTATAAAATGCAGTAAGTAAAATGATTAACTTATACATGAAGTGTTAAGTCACTTTCCCAAAAGATATAGATACAATGGTAAACTGAAATAAACTAACTAGAATTTTCCTACATTATAAGTTCAACAAGATTCAATGTTAATGATTTCAATGTCTTGATCAGTGAAAATAATGACATTAACTCATACAAACAGATAACGAATGAGAAACTTACGACTAATATATATGGTTATGATTATGGTTATCTCATGACCCAAACTAGAAAGTGTGTTATATTTCAAACAGCTTAAACAAATAGTTGGTGATTTCCTAGTCTTATTCTAATTATTCCCAATCCTAACCGCTACAGTATATCGAGTTAGACGGTAGCCAGGCATAGATGATATACATCTTAGCTTAAGTAAGGATAAGAAAAAAATTTGTGTACTGGAATTTATTCTCCTACTTTGCAAACATTAGTTCAAATCGCAATCTATAGACGGAAAGGAATTATAAGATGGTGGTTGGAGATAGTCAACAGGAAACCCTGGACGCAGGTTTCCTGCTACTTGGCAATCGTCAGCAAGGTGTACCTGCGGTCTTGAGGGAACTGGTGCTGCCTGACGGATTCGATCCCCTGTCACCCAGCTTCACAGTAAGAGACGTTACCACCACCATCTTATCTCAACATAGTGCACGCAATTTCGAGTCACTTAGACTAGTGGCCACACTGCAACTTGGTCGATAGCGTTCGATCTGCACTAAGAAGGACTTGACACACATGATATTGACCACCACCCAGTGATCAATCAATTGTGAAAGGAATTATCTACCGAATATCGTTTTCCTCAATCGATTTATTTAGAATGATATTTTGTTAATTCTCATAAAAAGTGTCTCTTAGATAACTATAAATATAACAATAGGTTAGATTAATCGTACAGTTGAGTAATGTAGAACAATTGTAAGCTCTCTCTGTATACACGAATCAAATCATTGGCAATATGATTGAAGTTTTGAAGTAGTTAAAAAATTGCCCATGAGATGTATTAGGATGAAGAAAACTTAAAGTTTTTCGAATTCTGTTATAAGTGGCACAAACTCAAGCATCAATAACTATAAAAAGTCATCATTTAAGCCTCAACTATTTTAAAACTGAGAAATATTTCTGAATGTATCCATAGATTTTAATCTATGATGATTGCCACTTCATCGTGAATTTATTCTTGAAGTGAATTATTAAAACATTATTAAACTATTCACACACACACACACAAAAATACTTAACTATGACAAAATTATGAAGCTTTTGAGAATAAGTTCAACTGAAATCTTTAATAATAAAAATGAAATGTGCAAACATACAAACAGTCATTAAAACTCATTTTCATCAGTAAAATTATTAATATACTCAAAACGATTTGACAGTGCCTAATCGTTAAGCCATTGCTTTTAAACTGAGTTCATTAGAGATTCAGCTTTTCAGATTTAAATAATAAAAACCCGTCTTTGTATACCCTTATGTAAATTGGACATAGTTATAAAATAAAATATTGAAGTGATGATTTTATATTCCCAGCAGTCAGTTTTATCAGATTAAGGTTGCAAATAGTTACAAAAATCTCTTGAACCTCAACCAAATAGTATAGATCTACCAATATGGCTCAGTCCGACAGTCAACAAACTTACAAACTGACGCCATATCTAGGTTTGGCTTTGTCCTATCCCACTATTTTTCTTGCAGCTTACTCCTACATTCACCAGCATCGCGCGTCGACGTGGGTGGTGTTTGTATATAGGTGGTGCACGTCACAACTACCTCATTGAATGGTGATTCCCCAGTATTTACGCAAATAGTTAGGCTCAAGGTCAAGTACGTAAGCTACATTACTTGAGGTTATTATTATCAAACTGAATGTATTCGCATCTTCAGACGATAAAAATGTTGAGTTTGAAAACATACCTTATAGATGATTAAAAAGAATGATTCACCTTGATATCTTTCAGCCATTTCATAACAAATTTAGTCTAGAGTTGTGTCGAGTGCTTCCTTTACAAGTTAGTTTGTAAGTTCCTGATTCCCCTAAACCAGATGAGCATATAATATACTCCAGGACACGTCGAGTCTCGTAGATCAATGAATACACACCAACTTAGTCGATACAACTTAACTAACTCTATGTACCAAGCTTTACGTAGTGATCAATCAATATAGAGATATAGGTTGTTGATCTGATGAAATATTGGTCAATTAGCAAGTAAAAGGATGAATAAATTATCGTTTCACTATTCACAACACATAAACATTTTCATCCTTTTCGTGATTCGTAACAGAAACTTACTGCGATAATAAAACAACCTATCTAGCATGATCTCTTTAGAAATTTACTTGTTTCATGTACGAAGCAGTCTGATTTCAGCTTATCCCCAAATGTAAGGCTTTTATTTTATGTAACTAATTTTACTACTTAATTTTAATTTCAGCATACCAGTAATTTCCGGGAAACAATTTTCCATGATGTGTTCCATGATCTAGATGATTTAACAGTGGAACTTTTTGTTGTCTGTCTGGTGAATACCATCAGTGCCTAACTCATGAAGTACTATATGAAGTGGCTCATCGATTCAACCACGAAGAAGAGATTACAACATGAATTGAATCTGAATCAGCTGAAAATCTCCACCATTCTGATACATTTGTTGCAGTTAGTAGGCTTTCGACCAATTATTGGGAATACATGTATTCATCTTCCACCGACTGGCAAAACTCGAAATCTGAACGAAACAATTAATCAGGATGAAAATATATAGACATCAAACAATAGCTTCAATAATTTCCACAGGAAGATTATGACTTCGACAATATAATTGAACAACAAATCTAGAAATACTGTCAATAAAAAACAACGTTCATATTTCTATTTGATATGCCGTCAAAATCCGTACCAACCACAATATAGGTAACACCAGATAGGGCACTCAATAAGACCAAATAAAAACAAAACGGATGGATGTCTGCCGAAGTGTCGGATTACAAAGAGAACAAATAAAATACCAATGCTTCAAATCCTGCAACTCCGTTGACATATCTATTCCTGAAAATGATTATTCTCATAAGCTGCGTGACATTAAAACTTCTAAACACCTTGTTATTTTGCATAAACAACACCCTTTCCCTTCATGTTCTCAAGACCATTTCTCAATTTCATCTGTCTAAAATTTCAGTTGACATTAATAACCACGATAAAATTAAAGTTGGAGAATGAATCTTGTTCATACAATATGGAACCTCTTTGTATTAACATGCTTTATAGTGCAATCTATGTAGTATAGAATTTAATTTACAAAATTAGTCACTATATACATCACTCATAAGTATTAGTCCAACACTGATCAGGGACATTGGAAAAAATGACTAAACAGAAATATTACCTACCAAATAAAAATCAACGTCATCTACTGCAAAGCATATTTAATGAAAATTTTTACGTGTCATGTTTGTCGGAAATAGTTTTATGTCACTTCATTGTTAAACATATATGGATATTTCTCAATGATATTGCATGGAACATGTGAAATACCAGTCACAGTCTACATACATCTGCTCTGGACATAAAAATGATTATTTCAATTGTGACTACATCAATATAAGCAAAATTTGATTATCATTTTCAAATCATTTCATTTTGATATGTGGGAGGAAAACGGTGTTTCTTTTTCCAAAATAAATTATTCAATATGAATAGGTAGTGTTATGAATGCAAGTTCTATGAAGGCACTATTCGCTGATATATATGAATTTAAGGTGGGAAAATATATAGTAAGTTAGGATGATGATTTGTAGCTCAGGAGTTTCATTCTCTGAGCTGGATAGTTAAGTTATTAGACATCCTTATGAAAAATAGGTTGGTATCAATTTGATAACATTTAACATAGTATCAAAACATCTCATTAACCACAGAATTCAAAAATAATCAACCACGGTGTTAAAACATTCTTGCCATAATGTTAAATGATGAACTCACCACAACTGAGCACTAAACAGATAGCCTCGCCATTTCAATAGTAGTGACCTATTTAAATATGAACAGTTTTGGTTAATTCAGTGAATTCGGAATTTAGGACACACGTTTTATCCTGTTTGAAGCAAAACGTAGTGGTGTGGAGTTCCAGTGTGAACACAAAACTGGGAAGCAGGTGCCTGTAAGTGATGAGTCTCAAATAGGACGGAACGGACGTCCTAAATCCTACTGATAATCACCGTCCAACTTTAAAATGCTTAAGAATATTTGGTGATATCGAGGCAGTCTTTTTAGGATGTATATTTGCTAAAAGTGATTGATAATTTGCAGTTATTAACATCAATGGTATGATAAAAACACAAAGTTTGTTAGTGTTCATTGTGAAAGATCAATGAATACAAGGAAATAACACGCTGCGCCACTCATTTTCTAGCCACAGGTTTATGTACTAAGTCGTAATCAAAATAAGTAAGATGCAGTTCAATCTGGAGAATAGATGCTTGAAAGCTGAGACACAAGCTGCATGACTCATGCAAACAACCGTTACCTAGATATTTTTATTGTCATTAAAAAGGAACAATAACAGCAATAGTAAACGCCACGATCCTCTCTGGTTTGAACAAAATAGGGGTGATGGTGTCGATTTATGGGCTACATTGATTACAAAGGGTTTTACCAATCCCCATGATGATTTCTGGGATTTTTTACCGTATGGTTTAATTACCCATTTCGTGGTTTCTGTGGTTTATTTGGCGAAGACGAGTCGGTTAATCGGACACTTTAACGAAATCAATGAGGTAGTTATATTTGCGGAAGACATAGGGAAAATGTCGAAATTATGTATCAGAGAATTTCTGGATGCGTAACGAACAGATCAATCAGTAATCAATAAACCTGTCGAACCAAACCCGATCAACTAATCTACTTGAAAACGGTCAGTGGGGCGGGACAGACAACTTGAACACAGGGACAAACGAAGATAATGAAACTTACACTTATCAAGAATCACAAACAAGGTCACCAGAACAAACTGGTTTTGAAACTCGTGAAATGACTAAGCTCACTTCTACATCAGGTTAACCCAGATGATCATGTCCAGAATGACAATGAAAGCTCCGTGATAAAACCATCCACCTGAGAGAACTACATAATACCAAAAGTATACACTTAAGCTGCAAATCTTCATCATTTCAAGAAGAAAAATACAGTTCAAGTATCAAAAACTATATTTTTCTCTATACACAGTAAAAAAACTTCCTTTTCAGAAAAAAACAACTAAAATTTTCAAGAGCAGAAAAAGAATACATGAGAAAAGAAACAAATCCTGAAAGAAACTCAAATTATTGAGAGCTTAAAGATATTTTAATAGCTCGTTCCACCCTGACTAACCGATACGAAAAAAACGATATTACAAGTATTTCAATACGAAAACTATACATTAGGCGTGAAATATGTCAGACAGAAAGTCATTCCATCATATCTAATATGAACATTTATTTTCGCATAATTTCTACATTGGATTATGAAGGAAATTTTTCTAATGCCCATTTCAATTGAACTTCTGTAGCGCCTAAATAACGTGCAATCCCTAGCAATCCTGTATATAATACAGTATAATAAACACCATGTCTTAATGGATAATCAGTTGGAACACCAGCCGCAGCTGTTCTACTACGTGTACGAATTACATCACCCAAATATTGATGTGATTTTAACGCCAGATCAATAGCATGAAATGCTCGACATGAACGTGGATAACCATTGATACATTTTAAATAATGTGAATAGATAAAATGAGGTTGTCCAGCTATTGGTACTCCAGACCTATAAAAGACCGAAACGAGAAACAAGAGATTCCATAAAATAATATAAATCATATATTAATTATTGAACTAAAGAAGATAGATAACAACATCAGATTGAGAATTTTCAAGGTGACGAGTGGTATCAAACAGCACGAGATTTTTGTTCGGAGTTTTCTGTAAACTACCTTTAAACACCATACAGGTAAGTACAAACAATGAGTTTCTTTCGCCATTGATATTTCATAACATTCCAAATCACTAATCATGACTATCGCACGGATCCCAACAATTAAGTAGTCAGTACCTACCGATGATATAAATCAGATCAATCGACAAAACGTTCATACACTAACCTTATGCGCTTGAATTTTTTTAAAATCATTAACTATTTAACATTAAATAACAGGGAAAAAGTTGTCATTAATAAAAATTCCTACGCAAAAAGAAAAAAACGATATTCAAAAAACAATAATAAAGATCTATATACACATACCAATTTGTTTGTACATTTACAATCCAACTTCCAAGCCAACAACTTAATGCCCATAAAACACTCTTCTGATGAATATATTTATCATCTAAGTGTAGTCGATAGGCGAAACAACCCATTCCAACACCTGGTCTCTGTAATGTATAATACACTGCGGAATCCCAATTAACTGGTAACTGAACACCTGAAAATTTAAATGCACAAAAGGATAAAAGATTAGTTGGATTAATCACTTTATTAAGAATGTCACGATGCATATAATAATTAATGAACAATAGATAAAGATCGCGATGACTTGGTGAATAAACCTTATGGCTTTCAATAAACAAGTCGAAGATTTGAAACTTGATCCAACTGTTACAATTTGGTCAAGGAACTTTTTGCATCACTATTATTGATATTATTACTTCAACTACTCTAGCCTTCTTAATAATTTCATCTCCCCGTTCTGATATACATATATAGTGTGGCAACTTGAATGGATGCACAGAACGGCCAGGTCCTGTTTTTCTTACAACTGAATGAATGACATGTAAGAATGTGGAGGGGAAAGCGTCAAAAGTTGAGCTCGTTTCAAAACCGAAGACATACAAACAGTAAGTTTTCTTAACTACTCTCAACTTCTCTCAAACAGTAACTCCTCGACAACATCGAATGATGATGACCGTACAGCACCGGTAGTTAACAGAAGTAAAAAACGTGCACTATTGGATCTAAGTTATGATAATACTTATCAATATTATGCTCAGAGAAATTTTAATGTTTAGACAGTTCTACCACATTTGTAGCTCGTAATTTCAAGTCGGTTGAGGAATATCAAACTAGGCACGAAAGCATTACTGTCTAGTCTCATTCCCTCTGTTAACTGAGTGACTTCTTTCCATCAAATGTCAATTCATGATGAAAATAATAATTATGTATGATGTACAATCCCACAATAATGAAAGGGAAATAAAGCTGAAGTACCAATGCTAAAAATCACTACCTGGTTCCAAAATAACTAACATTGAGCCATTAGCATATTGATCTATAGCATAGCGAATAAGTTCACCCCGACTCGGTGTCAATATGCTTGTAACCGATGGATCATAATGATATAATTCAACATTGACCATACAACGAGGATGTACAATATCATGCAAATATTCTGTTGTGATTGGATGAGCAGTAGAAGAATGTAACAATTTACTAGTTTGAGGATATTTCGATGGTGAACTGTCTATAATTATAATCTAAATTTCAAATAAACACACTTATGATCAATATACATAGACAAGAATAACAAAAGAAAAAAAGGATACAAATCCTGAAACAATAATAATAAAATGTTGGGGAATAGAGCAAGGATAATAAGGTTCGAATCCTATGTACGGGATTGTGGATGCGCACTGCTGAGAAATCCCGTTCTAGGACGAAATAACCATCTAGTGCTTCCAGGTTTGCAATAGTGGTCTAACATTGATTTATTCATGATCTCAATCAAAACTCAACAATCTATATAACTGACAACAAGATTTGTAAATTGTGAATAACTTTGAATTATCCCATTTCAAGTTTATATATTGTCAACTGTAAAAATAGCCCTCAAGTTATGAAGAATAAAATTATTATGAGTATAGATTTTGGAGATTACTGAATGTTATTAATATTATAGACCGGCCTAAGTTAGCCATCCAATAGAAATCAGGAAGTACTGGACAGTTGTTTCGTTTCAGTACGGGACTCTTTAGCAGTGTTCCTCAATGTCCCTACCAAAGAGGATAAAATCACAAGACCTTCAGTCTTGCACACGAACGCCAGACCTCTAGACCAATGAGCCAGAATCGAATGGTATTTACGTTTAGAACTTCAATTAATTTACAATACTGTGCAAATATCCTCAATTGTTTTCATATGTACCTTCTTCACATGAGACAACACCAAACTCCACTAGTTATAGCTTCTCATTGAAATTCCTGAATTACCTATTGAAATTATTCACATTACAATTATCAGTTTAGCGCTTTGTTTAGACTCCTAGTTTTCGTTAGATATCTAACTTATTTCGTGATATCATTGATTTATTATTAAAAACGGTTCGAAATACTTCAGTTAATGAAACTGATATGAATATTTGGAACAGGACAAAGCATCATAATAATAAGTGCATAAAGATACAAAATATTATGGTATGAAGCATATTAGTTGGGATTAATGCTGAAAATCTAATTGTATAAAATAGGGAAAGTTATATCGCCCAGCTTGAATATTTAGACCACCTGTTCCTACCATCTACAAATTTCAACAACTCATCTATTTCCAGGTTTCTTTTAACACATCATTATACCAATTATTTGCATAACCTATTCAGATGTGTTTGTGAAAAGTTTACGACCTTTCTCTTTACAAGTTACAAAAATGTACAATCACAAATATCGTGATGGCTGACAATTTGATTGGAAAGAATGAACATATTTCAGATGTCGATTCCTGAACTGATAACACCTAACTGTCAACCACTCAATATTTATCGTTAAAATCGATGAAGAAAGAAGGAAAGGAAAATAGCTGACGTACTTTGTGCTGAGAATTCTACATTGTACCAAGAATATAATATTGAATAAAACTAATAATAAATAAATAACAATAATTATAATGCTGATCAAAATACAAATACAAAGGAATACATAATCAAAAGACATAATTAGAATGAAAATTAGCTAAACAATGAGTAAATATTGGTGAGTGAGTAAAAGTAAGATACATACAACAGGTGAAACTATACCAGTTACAAATAACTTTATCAATTCAAAAACAAATAATCAACAAAATTGATAAATTTCGATAATGTAATGAAAAGACGAAGTTTATCAGAATTATGTGATATATTTGCGCAATACATTTCGAACAATCTGATCACACATATACTTGTTAAGAACATTTATATGAAAATGGATGCGTACTGCTGAGGAGTCCCATACTAGGACGAAACGACCGTCCAGTGCTTCCAGGTTTTCCATGGTGGTCTAGCTTCAACTGACTCATGATTTCAATCTGTGAAATTAAAGGTTAACTAGACAGGTTAAGGTTTAGTCATAACAGAGGAAAAATATTAAAGTACACAAAACAAATGTGATCACCACTCTGGATAATAAATCAGTATTACTAGGGTAAGTTAAGTGTAAGGACAAATTGATTTTGAACACATAAAGGGGGTTTCAATTTCCGTATAGTCAAGGCTTCAATAAACCTTAGTATACGTCCTTGAAGGCTTTTGTATAACACTACAAATGCTGATTTGACGTCACACAACCTTGTAAAATGGCTTACAAAAGTATCAAACCCTATCCGAAATCAATATTGTAAGTATTCATTGACTGACTCATTTGAATTAATTAATTACTTAAAGGACATAAATATAAAGACAAAAACCATGTGCTTCTTTGATGTGAACACTTTTTTTACAAATGTACCTCTCAGGAAATCCATTGATATTTTGTGTGACTATATTTCTTTGAATAACCTTACACTGCCATTTCCTGTTAACACTCTTAAATACTTACTATTATTGTGTACAGATAATGTGAAATTCATTTTTGAAGGTGAGCACTTCCGACAAATAAATGGTGTAGCTACGGGTAGCCCTCTAGGACCATTGCTGGCTGATGTGTTCATGAGATATGTTGAAAATTTAGTTGAAGACTCAATTCGAACGATGGGTCTGTATAAACGATATGTTGATGATACAATAATCATGGGGATAAAGGGGAAGACATAAACCGCTTGTTAAAAGAATTCAATAGAAGTCAAAAGCACATTTCTCTTACATGTGAAGAAGAGAAGAATAACCAACTTCCTTTTTTAGACATCCTGATGTAGAGAGAGAGATGATGGTTCCATCCAACGTGGTATATATAGAAAGCCAACACGGACAGGGCAATATCTTAATTTTCATAGTCATTGCCCTATTCATTACAAACACGGTCTAATAAAGAGCTTATTCATTAGAATCAATTGTATTTGTAATAGTGGTACTATTGAAGTAGAGACGAAGCTCTTGACTGATACGTTAATGAATAATGATTATTCTTTGAAGTTCATAAACCGCTGGAAGGGTTGCATTACGACTAGACCTATACCGCTTCTGGCACCTAAAAAGCGAGTTTTTATCACATTACCATTCAGAGGCGACACAAATAGTCTCATGTTGAAACGGAGACTTGAATTAGCTATCAACTGGACATTTATGCCGCCCAACTTGTCATTATCGAAAAGACAATGTCTATGTTTCACCAAAGCCTTAACAGCACGAAAGCGATTGTGTCACATCCCATTGTGTCTATCAATTTACATGTGTGGACATAGGGGAACACGTGATTTGCAATCAAGGGTGGGTGAACGCATACCAAATTGGTTGCAGAAACAAATGTATTCCAATGGTCAAATAATATCACAGGATAGACAGACATCATCCTCCATTGCGAAACATTTGATTGAGGCGGGTCATAAGGTTGACGTCAAATCAGCATTTGTAGTGTTATACAAAAGCCTTCAAGGACGTATACTAAGGTTTATTGATGCCTTGACTATACGGAAATTGAAACCCCCCTTTATGTGTTCAAAATCATTTGTCCTTACACTTAACTTACCCTAGTATACTGATTTATTATCCAGAGTGGTGATCACATTTGTTTTTGTGTACTTTAATATTTTCCTCTGTTATGACTAACCTTAACTGTCTAGTTAACCTTTTAATTTCACAGATTGAAATCATGAGTCAGTTGAAGCTAGACCACCATGGAAAACCTGGAAGCACTGGACGGTCGTTTCGTCCTAGTAGGGACTCCTCAGCATTACGCATCCATTTTCCATATATAGTCTTAACAAGTATATGTGTGCTATCAGATTGTTCGAAATGTATTGCGCAAATATATCACATAATTCTGATAAACTTGTCTTTTCATTACAT